TCATATGGGTTGACCGCTGGTCTGATACAGGCATTGAAGTCAGACTCTAGTGCTTGTGTCAGGATCAACGGGGCCTACTCGGACTGGTTTGGCATCCATAAAGGTGTCAGACAGGGCTGTGTGGCTTCCCCGTGGTTGTTCAACCTATTTATGGACAGTTGTTTGGAAAATTTTAAAAGTAGAAGAATGCGGGTTAAGAATGGGTGAGTTAACCGTCAAATGCCTTTTGTACGCCGATGATCAAGTCATACTTGCATCGTCGGCAGCCGAGTTGAAAATGATGGTTACATTAATGAACAGGACATTAAAAGAAAAGGAAATGAAAGTGAACGCAAGTAAGACGAAAGTTATGGTTTTTGAAAGAGAAGAAAGTAAAACGATATGTGAAATAAGAATGGAAGGGGAGTTGGTAGAGCAAGTAGATGAGTTTGTATATTTGGGATGTGTGTTTAGCAGGGATGGTAGATATGATAAGGATATAGAACGACGAGTGAATGCAGGAAATAGAGTTAATGGGGCTCTACACTCTATTGTGAAAAGTCAGAATGTGTCCAAAAAGGCACGTATGGCAATTCACAATGCTGTGCTAGTACCTACTTTAATGTATGGTAGTGAAAGTTGGGTGTGGCAGAAGAAGCATGAGAGTAGAATAAATGCTGTAGAAATGCGGTCATTAAGGAGTATGTTAGGGATGAAGCTGAATGACAGAGTGAGAAATTGTTTAATAAGAGAAGAGTGTGGTTTGCAAGATGATGTTGTGACCAGGATTAAGAAAGGAATGCTTCGGTGGTTTGGCCATATAGAAAGAATGAATGAGGAAAGAGTGACAAAGCAAATCTATGTTGCAGAGGTGAACGGCATAGTCGGGAAGGGTCGCCCTAGGCGAAAGTTTATCGACCGAATTGGCGATATATTAAAAATGGGCCATATCAAGAGTACCTTTAACCGACGAGCGTGTATGCGTAGGTATTTGGATGTGGAAGAAGCGAGAGAGGTGTATCAGGATCGTGCCAAATGGAAGTCCATAATCTCTGCCTAACCCTCTGGGTGACAGGCGTGAGTGTAGAAGCCGTCTTAATTTTGTTGCTGAAAGGCAATGACTTGGCTGTGGAGCACACTCTTTTAAATATTTTTGAATTTTTTTTACATATTCCCTAAATTCGACGCTATGATTATAACTCGGCTGAACTGCCTCCTGGCAGTTCAGGCAGACTGTTCTCCCCGCCCTTAAGTTGCCTTAGTTAGGCTCACTTCTCAGCGGCTTCTCGCTGCCAGCGCCCCCTTTTCCCTAAATGGGATCGCTTCCAAATTCGGCAGAAAGGCCACACAAGCCAATGCCATTCTTGTAAGACTGGCATTGGCTTGTGTGGTGTTTAGTGGGTAGGCACTTAGGTTTCGCAGTAAGTCCCACATAACCACGCAGCCGGTTGTCGTATTATGCTTAGAGCATTCACAACCCCGGAGGGTAACCCTTTCTATTGCTTCTGAGTGCAAAAAAAGAGCACTTCAACCTGTACCACATACGGTACATGTAGTGGAAGCCACAACTATAACTGGATGTGCACAAGGGGAAACTGTATTTGTACCAAGAATTCCCTTCATCCCGAATGATATTCCCTTTGAATTCAAAAGAATACAGTCTCAAAAGTCTGATTTGAAATGACCATAAAAAAATCATAAGGGCAGACATTAAAATTTGCAGGTATAGACTTGAGAGAAAATTGTTTTTCACACGGGCAATTCTATGTGGCTTGCTCACACCGAAGTTCTCCCAGTGGTCTGATAATTTTGGCACACAGTAATAGATTAGCAAAAAATGTGCTGTATAAAGAAGTTTCATAATTTACTAGCAATCGAGCGGAACCAAGGCTCTAAAGTCTTTGCCAGAGATCTGTCTGCCAGAAAAACTCAACTGCCGAAGCTGAAGACCGAAAGTGGCAGCATCATTTTGGGACACCAGAGATTTTGAGTGATATTTAGAGGTTTTACGGGCAGTTCTACAAGTCATCGTTGAAGCCACACACAATTTTGAGTAACGATCCAAGAGCAAGTCTTATCCGACAATATTTCGGTGATATCGACGTCAGTCTGAGCATGATTAGAATGGCTCTACAGCAAGCCGGTCATGAACGGAATTACATCGGAGCTTCTGAAAGCGGGTGGAAAACTAGTACTTGAAGTCCTTCAGAAGCTCTTCAATTTCGTTCTTAATGGTGGCACTACTCAAGAGTCGTAGAGTAAAAGTATGGTACTCTTATTCTTCAAGAAAAACGGCAACGCTCTCTTGAAAAATTATAGACCTATATATATACATATATATATCATCATTACCTTTCATAAGTCCACTGCTGAACATAGGCCTCCCCCAAGTAATGCCACAAAGCACGGTCCTGAGCCACCTGCATCCATCGACTTCCTGCATGTCATACCAGGTCGTCACTCCATCTCGTAGGGGGTCGCCCTACACTTCGCCTACCGCTACGAGGCTGCCACTCAAGAACCTTTCTTCCCCATCGGTTGTCGGTTCTTCGAGCTATATGGCCGGCCCACTGCCACTTCAGCTTACTAATCCGTTGGGCTATGTCTGTTACTCTGGTTCTAATGTGGATATACCCTGTCTTACACCTCACTGCAATTGGACAGGTTTCATACTCTGGTTCTGTACTGGGATAGCCACTAGTGTACAAGCACTTCAGTACTTCGATAAACCGACAGTCAACTTGGCACCGCTGACGGGGCTGCAGCACTGCCCAAATTTCGACGGAATTAAAGGCTTTCTCATAGTCCACATACGCCAGGCATAGTGGCAAATTGTACTCTTCGGACTTCTGTACAATTTGCCGAAGGGTCTACGGTGCTAAAGCCCTTTCGGAAACCGGCTTGTTCGGGAGGCTGGAAGTCGTCAAGTCTGCGTGCGAGACGATTCGTAATGACTCTCGAAAACAGCACGTAGACGCGGCTCAGAAGGGAAATCGGTCTGTAGTTCTTCAAGAGAGCATTGTCACCTCACCTTGTCTTGAAGAACAAGACCACCGCACTTCTGCTCCACGCCTCCGGTGTAATGCCACCACGGAGGACGGAATTAAAGAGCCTCTGAAGGACTTCCAGTACCGGTTTTCCATCCGCTTTCAGAAGCTCCGCCGCAATTCCATCCTCGCTTGGGGGCCTTGCCGTTTTTAAGATGCTGGAGAGCTATTCTAATCTCACTCAGACTGACGTCCGGGATATCTTCGGAATAGTGTCGGATAAGACTCGCTCTTGGATCGTTACTCACACTTGCGTGTGGCTCCAACGATGACGTGTACAGCTGTCCATAGGACCTCTCAATCTCACTCAAAATCTCAGGTGCCCCGGAAACGATGCTGCCACACTCTGTCTTCAGCTTTGACAGTTGGCTCTTTCTGGCAGACAGATCTCTGGCAAAGACTTTGAGCCTTGGTTCCGCTCGATCGCTTCTTCAATACAAGCTGTATTGAAGTTGCGAATGTCCCGCCGCAATGATTTGGAGATCTGTATGTTCAGTTGCCTGTATGCTGTCAAATCTGTTAAAGAATGTAGCTTCATCTCCCGTCTAACAGCCATGAGATTAAGAGTGTGATCGGAGTTTTTGTGTTCTTCTGCGGCGGGTTTTGCAGAACTTAGCTCCAACCGCATGGACAGTTTCCACGAGTTTGTCATTCATATCGTCCACTTCATTGCAGTCTTCTAGGCACTGAAAACGGCTTTGTAACTCGAGCTGAAAGGTTTCGGGACTTTGGAACAGAGCACGAGGGGGACGGAGCGTTGACTTCATTAGACGAGACCTCTCCAACTTAACGTTTAGGTTCAGTGTGCCCCTAAACATTCGGTGATCGCTACCAGTTTTCACCCTCGCGATCACGGAGACATCACTGAACAGTTGTCGTCTGGTCGTCATAATGAAGTCAATCTCATTTTTTGTCGAACCGTCGGGGCTCAAACCCAAACCCGTCGGCCTACCGATATGAGGCTAGTGCGTCTAGCCTCATATCGGTAGGCCAAGTGTAGGGTAGCCCCATTACCCCACGTGGAGTGACGACCTGGTAAGGCATGCGGGAAGTCCATAGATGCAGGCGGTTCAGGACCATGCTTGTGGCGTTCCTTGGGGGAGGGCTATGTTCAGCAGTGGACTTGTGAGGGGCTGTAATGAATGAATAAATGAATGAATTTACACGTGAAACATTAAAATGTAATAATGGACTCTTGTGTACTCTTTATGCTTAACATAGTACATCAAAAGAACCCGGTCCGATCCGTGAAGGTGTTTTAGTTACCAAGGTATTATTCTAATCATGTAATCCCTTTCATAAAATAAAAAATACCCTTCAAAATATCGTCTGCCATCGTCTAAAACGCATGAAAATCCGGTGTTTTTTGGTCAACAACAACACAACGGTGTTACCAGGTTTTAAAAATTTGCTGAATTTTAAGTAGGTGTTAACGTACCAACTTTAAAAACCGAGCAAATGAGGTGCTTTTTCGATGTGTGATCAGGCAAGGAATTCAAAAGAAATGTAGCCTGGAATGGTCAAAGAGTTGCTATAAAACTTAGTGAAGTGAACAGGAATACAAATTTTGTTATTAGGGAAGTTGAGATATTTCTATTGAAACAAGAACAAGAATTATTCTGAAATTACGCTTTTGTCAAATTATAAGCCAGTAAAGTTTAGATCTGTATTGCGAAACATGGTCAAACTCACGAAGACTGAAAATAAATCTGACTTAGGTAATTAGAAGGCATTTCATCTTGTTTAGAAGATCAGGGGACATATTTTGGTAATATACACATTTTCAATTATGGGTGTTATGAGCGACTGGACAAGCGCGATCTTATTTTATAGGAAAATTATATTTTAGATAAAAATAGAAATGGCTTTGCGGCTCACTTCTGTAACCGAGTTCTAGAATTAGGCGTGTTGTCGATGTGTAGACCAAGACTTTTAACGGAATTAAATTTTACAGAAATTAACTTTTGTCTTTTTATAGAAATTTACTTATGACTTTTTGCTCTTTATTTTTATGTATTTCTTTAATATTCTTCTACTGCAAGTAACACTTTTTGCTGTTCTTGAATAAATTCTCTGCTTCTGAAGACCGAAGATATCATCCTGACGTAGTACTCCAAATGCATGTGCAAAGACCTCTTAACCATATCCACTTGTCTAAACCATACCCACGCCAAACGAAAATTAACCAATTTTAGACAAATGAAATATTATTTATTAAAAATAAATTAAAAAAAAATACAACTAAATGAGGTAGATTTAGTGTTATAACTAAACATATTTTTAATTTGAATATTGCATAGATGGTCAATTTTAATACTCACACCTCTTATGTATTCACACATTCGACACAAAGACCACAGCGGTAAAAAATTTATAATCTATTATGTTATTTAAAAAGCAATAAAAAGAACAATTTTCATAACAAAATTTATAACTTTCTTTTTGCCAATTTATGTACATTATTATTTTAAGGAAAACACACAGAAACGTACACTTAGAAAACGATATAACACTGTAGGTGTAGTTTTAGTTGTTATGATACAACAAGAATTCTCTATTACTATCGAAAGGGATTAATCTGTACAAATTTACTTATATAAAACACAAATATTTAAACTTAGCAACAAATAACTATCATAATTGTGTATCAACAGAGTTATTATTTGCTTGAGAGGTTGTTATCGCGGTAATACCTGTAAATAATTCATTTTATTTAAAAAAAAATAATCTTATTAATCGTTATAAAATTGCCTTCATATATTATATTCGCACGTGTCTGTGTTTTTAATTAAAAAATATGATAAACGTGAATTTAATAAGCCATACACTTACTTGAAAGCAGTGATAATAATTGGCCATGATCACAGCATATAGGATCATGCACGACGCTTTTCAGTTGTTCTTTAATTCTGGGATTAACGTCGCACCAAACTACACAGCCATTGCGCGACCACTCTGACACAAACATCTTCATACTCTGTGGATAGTATCAAGTCAAAAACATCATATATTTATATTTAACTAGTGTAGTTATTCCGCTAACATTTAGGTTCGCATATTAAATAAGCTTTATTTCAATTTTAACGGCACATTAACATATAAAACATAGATATCTAATGTTCAAATTAAAATGCTTTTTTGCCTTGAAATACACTCCCACACACTATTTAAAAAGGAACATTCCTCCATGTGCGCAATATGCTTAAAGCGGTACAAAGCATTCTCCTCACGTATTAATATATAGATTTAAAATGTGTTGGATAGAGATCAGAGGTCGTGGAATGATAAGAAGAGGATCATGAAAATAATATTTTATTATACAAGTTTCATTTACTGTGATTCGGACGAGAGAGAGAGTTGCCATACCCCAAAATACTTATAATAATATTTAATAAAGTTACCAGTATATATAAGACTATTGTTGCATTTTCATTCTCTAATATATTGTCTTACTGTGTAGTAGGCGGTGTAAGAATATCCACTACCCCATATCATCCCAGGGGTGTCGTAAGAGGCGACAGAAGCAAACGTATCAGGAGATGGGCAGGAGCGTCTTGTCAACTTGTCAACTGGCCTTTGCAGAGAAGGGTCAGTATAAGTAATAAATGCAAAAGATGAAGAAAAATTAATTATAAAAATCTCAAACATTATGTTATATTTATATTTTAAATTCAAAATGCGTGTTGATGCATTATTTTAACTGGTTCCTTATTCAGAAATATCTAACGCCTACTATTTTACTAAACACAAACAAATACGTTAGGGTCGATCGGTCGGCAAAAACGTTGTAAATTGAATTGCACACAGGTCGTCCGTCAGTTGTTGTCCATAAATCACATTCAGTTTGGGATAATTTCAAATAAAAGTAGAAGCCTTATTTACTTGTATTTATAAACATGGAATAACGGTATATCATTATTTATATATTTGAACTTAAGTTTAAAATTTTGCTACTCTTTGAAAAGTAACCCTGTATATAATATATTATAATATAGAGCACATACATATGATATAATAGCCGTGTTAGTTTAGGAGTATAGCCTCATCGGCATCAATAAAATAGATTATTGTAATTTTTGTGCCGATTAACCACGTACTCGGTGGTAAAAGAAAACAACGTGCGCAAACCAGCATATCTTAGGTATAAAATATTTCGAAGACATATTGTAAAGTCTGTCAACATGGAACGAAAGAGTTTGGCCGACTTATTGGTCTACAAACCTCGCCGTAATGAAAAGAGGACTTTTTTTTAACGTATTTATACAAATATGTATGTAAAATAGATTGATAAATACCGACCTGTAAGAAAGTATAATCCACTCTACACAAAGCGTCGCAATGTATCACTAAAACGTTCGATGTCTGTCTAACCATCGTATTTATGTTTCCATCGGGTACATCGATTCGCACATCATTATCACCAACTGTAGTTGTTTCTATAGCGGAAGAGTTTGAGCGAACAGATATATTCTTAGAATTTCTTAGGTCAATTAATCTTGCTCTCAACTTTTCCGCGCCAGCAAAATGTAACCCGCCAGTTGGACGTATGGCATAATGAGGTGTTATTGTTCCATCCTGTGAACAATATTAACGCGATAAATGAAGTATATCCTATGTGAAATTGATACTGCACGCTTATTACATACTAATTTTATTTCTTAACTTAAACTGTTTATATGGGTATAGATAAATGTTATGTCACCAACATTATTGTTAGATATTTGAAAAAGCCATTCAAAACCCATTTGAAATATAACTTACGTCAACAAACTGTACTTCGAGAGGCGGTCGCGAATGATAGTAGAGAAGTAATAATATATCTATAGCAACGCCGCAAGCCAATCCAAGTTCGACGCCGAAAGCTAGACAGCAAATAAAAGTTCCCGCAAGAGGTATCAGGTCCAATCCTAGAAGTACAGTACAATTCTTAGATATCTAAGATTGAATATCTGTGAAAATATTTCAGCCAAGATTTATTTTAGCAAAAATATTTTTCAGTTTTAATGTTAGTTAATTATATACCTAAGGTCTAAGCAAATAAAATAAATAGATTATCAAACGATTCATTTAGTGCACTACCTATTTTAATAAGTGGTTTAATAAGCCGTGGTAGCTAAAGGGCTAAGCGTTCGCTGTGAATTTCACTGTACACGAGCAACACGGGTTCGATTCCCGCTGGCACCAATTAAATTATTAATTGCAATTTTAAGTGTTGGTATACCACGTGCTCGGTGGTGAAGGAAAACATCGTGAGTCCACTAGTAATCATGCATGTCTGAGAAATAAGAAAAAATATTCAAAGACATGTGAAGTGCGCCAACACGCATTGGGGAAGTGTGGTAGGACATTTTCTTGTCCTAAAAACCTTCTAGCAATGAGAAGAGGCCTGTGCCCAATAGTGGGACGTGTATAGGCTATAAATTTAACTTTAACTACTTTAATGGTGTTGGTAGATTCATTCAAGCCTATTAAAAGTCCACTAGTAAACGTTGGCTTCCCCTATAGATTGTATCATTTGCCACAGGTGTCACGCCTGGCAGGTGGATTGCCAAGCGTAGTTTATTTTTTATTATTTTGAGTTATATTCAGGAAGATGCTGCTGTCCATCTCTTTTTTAATTTCCACGTCGCATCTTACGTCACGATTATATGGGGTGGTGGGTATTCTAATGCTACCGCTGCACGGCTGAATTTTATGATATATGGGCAAACGCACACGTTTTGTTCCTCTAACAGGCCTAATTATTTTCAACTGGCTAACGGTAGATGGCGCAATCTATCGGATGCCATATTTATAAACATTTAATTTTTTTTTGTTCAGTTTCGGTGTATTACCTTAATGTTATGTAATGTTTCGAGGAGAACACAATAGAGATTTTTCATTTTAATTTTAATGTTTACTAAATCGTATTCTAGAATAGTACATTCGCTTTCATCTGAATACCTAATGCAGCTAGATAATTAGAACTTTTAGTAGTTAATTACTATTATTTTACAAAAAAAATCACATTTATACAAATCAAGAATGTAAAACCTTAAAGTGCCACACATTGATAAAAATAAGTTTACCATTTTCAGTGTTTATTTCCTACGTAATTCGTAACTTTTTATACTTATTTTAATATTTACCACAAAAGGATTTAACCACAAAGGGATCAATAGCTATGATATAGCTCAAAACCCTAAATATTTAGCGAAAGTCTTTTTACTCATGAACACAACAAGAATCGGAATTATTATCTGTGCAAGTGCATCGACTATGCGCTCACCATCCATGATGAGCAGTTAAAGTTCATGTTGTGGCATTCCAGTGTATTGAAAACACCTCTATGTAAGTAATGATTGAGAAAGCCCTATGAAGAAGGGTATTTTCACACTTTATTGAAATGTAATCGTCAATTAAAAATAAGGCGTAGTGATAACGGAAAATCTTCCTTCTATAGGCTTATGTCCAGCATTGCACTGCCAAAGAAGAAGACAGATATAGCGAATAATAAAATTTGATATATAACACGGACATAAAGCAACATACATTACGGAAATCAATTATTTCATTCTTATTGCAATATCAGTTCAAAATATAAAATTAAACTGGAGGTAACGCAATAATAACAATAAAACGAGTTTAAAAATGTATCTATATAGTAATTATTTTATTAATTTCCTAGTTAATTTAAGCGTGCGTATGGCATAAGCGGAATCAGAATGCCTATAAACGTATTTCTGTAATTCCAATTACTTTTAATCACGTAGTATTGCATTCTGCAGTAAATGAATTTCATTTATTGATATCGTTTATTATATTTTTACTGTAGCGACATCTTGCGTTTTGTTTATTGAGGTCAAATTCAGTAAGAAAGTACTTTAATTTAAATTAAAGTACTTTCTTACTGAATTTGAACTCAAGGATTCAATAAAATAGCATAATTATATGTCGGAGAGAATATTTCGTTATTTTAACTTAAAATTTTTTAGTTCGTTAGATGTTCTATTAGTGTTATGTAATGTGATACGTTTTCAAGTCTGAAACTACACTTTTCTTCTATCGGCTCTAGCTTTGTAAATGAGACATAAAATTTTATAATTTTAGTCTTTTTATTTTAAATACGTGCTTTTCTAAAGGAGATCTAAGATTGGATTTAAAATTAATATCGTCCAAATAGTAAAAAAAAAAATGCATTATCAAACTCTTCCAACAAAAAACTACATACTACGAGTAAGTTGTAACGTGTAATTAGGTGCTGTATTCGTGAGTACTTTAGGTGTACTTCAATAAAGCGATTACAGTTTCTGTATAGAATAAATATTTGCTTAACCTTATCCCCAAATAATTTACTTACTGCTTGTAGTCCACAATTTCTTTATTATAGCTACATCCACCATATGTAGAACGGCACACATAATGACCGCAGAAAGCGCCGCCCGGGGTATAAAATAGAAGTAAGGCGTTAGTAACGCCAGGGTCAATAAAACTATTACACCTGTTGAAAAACACAATGAAACAGATGCTATGTACAATATGTGTACAATAATTAGGTTACATGAATTTATACAAATATATAAAATTGAAGTGTCTGTTTATAATGCTAAAATTACAGCTTTTTACTAAATGCAGATGAAAGTATATACGGTACTAGGGTGAGTGGGGGTAAGATGAAAAATGGGGTAAGACAAAAATGCATCAGTAAAGACAGATTTTGTGTAATTTATCCAATGCAGGCAACATTCATAAGACCGCCATTTTGTTACGTACCACACTTAAGTCGCACTTGTTGTTTTAAGGAATAACTACGTGTGAATTTTACGCGAGCACGTCGGGTGTTTTAATCTTACCCCGTGTCGTGTAACTTGATTTACGAAGTAGGCACGAGTTTTTTTATTTGTATACATACTTATTATTTTTAATTGGTAGTTATGTTGCTATGTCTAAATATCGCTACTTTTTGGATTTTAGTATTTATTGTAACATTCCGTCTTTACCTGCCAATATTTGACGGGGTAAAATAAACATATAAATGTTTCTATCTTGCCCCGTTTTCAAAAGTCATACAAATGGTCTCATGTTCTCAAACTGTACCAGAAAAAATGTTTTGTTTTATTACAGCCATTATATAAATTGCCAGCGGCGCAATTTCATCTAATATTATCTAAAGGTATTTATTTTAATTTTTGTATATTATAAGAGAGGCAAAATCAGCAAGCGGGTCAACTGATGGCTAAGTGATTTCACCGCTGCCCATAGACTGCCCATAGACACAAGAAACAACAGGAGTGTTACTTGTGCGTTGCCTTCTCATAAGGTATAGGAACAGGATTCGTAGGAATGGGAGTAGGAACTTAAATAAAAGGGGAAAGACCACCAGACACTCGTTAGTAAATGCAACATCACAGCTCCTAGAACAATGCAACGTCACATCGGTTTATCTAGCAAACGTCAACATTCGGGTGGCCTTAAGAAAAGGGGAAAAGGAACGGGCATCCGGAACTCTCACTCACCATACAAAACATGGCAGGCAATAAGAAGCTAAACACTTCACGCTGATTTTCTGTGAGAGGGTAGTATCCCACCGGTCGATCCTGCTCATTTATGTGTTACAGTGAACTGTAGACGTGGATCTACTACCAATTTTTTAATTATGTTTAGATAATATTTTTTTAGAAGTTTTTCTATGTTTCTAGTTGTGGCATTTTTCTAAGATCTTATTAATTAGTTAGCTGTCTAATTTTGAAATATTTGATTTTTACGTTTTGTGTTACACATTTTGTTGACGAAAATGGTAAAAGGTACATCTACGTAATTGTGTTTAAAATTATCTTGGCATTAACAATAAAAAATTATATGATTGATATCTTTAATTTTCTGTATAATCTTATCCAAGTAAAGTGAAAAGTTTGAGAACCTCTAGTTAAATCTTTCCCCGGCGGGGCAAGATTGAAATATAAAAAACAAATAATTTGTGTTATCTGTGTTATTTGAAGGTATTTTGATATTATAGACTGTTCTGAAGTGTCAGGACAATTAAAATTGTAGCCTACTGACCGTCAATATCGTCTGACATTAATTTGAACGATTTTAGAAACTACTTCGATCTTTCCCCACCTTTCATCTTTCCCCCTGTTTTTTTCTTTCGATAAAAACATTGTTATAAATTTTTTTTTGCTTTCGAATAAATATAACAGGGATTTATCGATATGACATAAAAATATGCTCTTTGTACTTTATTCACTATAGATATAATTTTAGCTTAAGTTAATATCTACTGTTCTACAAGACGTCAAACACAACACTGCTCATCTCATCAAAAAGCCGTTCGATCTTCCCCCCACTCACCCTTATATAAAAAATACAATTTTTAAAGTTTTTGTCTGGCTGTTTGTCTGTCTGTCTGTCCGTCTGTCTGTCTGTTTGTTCCGGCTAATCTCCGAAACGGCTGGACCGATTTAGACGGGATTTTCACTGGCATATGATGTCACAAGGAGTAACTTTACTTTTATTTTAGAAAAAGAATTAGGGTTCCGCGCAAAAAATTAAAACTCCAAATAAAACGCGGGCGAAGTCTCGGGGAGCAGCTAGTTACAAATAAATAGAGACAGAATAGCAGTTTCGATATTTTTTTACCTAAATTAGATGATAAAAGACATTTAGTGATACTACGACTTAATAAGTGACGATTACTACGAACGATTTTTAGTTACAATCGTTTGGTGGTGGCGTAGGTGAATCCATCACCCTATTTCATCCCGTGTCTTAAGTGACGACTATAAGAAGCCCATGAAAGACTTTTTTTGGGTTCCCAACAAGATTTCATGGCTTCCAAAAGATGGCGGTTTAACCATCTTGTTTACGCCTGGGTCAAAGAGTCTGGTACTGCAATCGCCAATCCGCTGGTAAAGCATAACGCAATGTTCAGATATTCGCCAAGCACAGTCGAGTAGACACGAGTACGAGTATGTAAACGCCTTGTTCGGGTGTTCTCGCTACTCGGCCTGAGTATTCGTCTGTTCTCCACTCGATGTCAGTTTTTTGGCACGAGTAAAATGAATGCTCGTGTGTATTCGTATCGATGTTTACATCCTCGTAATTATTCGCTTCGCCCGTGAACTTTTAAATTTTATTTTTCTTCATTATCATCATCATCATTACAGCCTTTGATAAGTCCATAAGTGCTGTACATAGGCCTCCCCCAAGGAATGCTACAAAGCACGGTGCTGAGCCATCTGCATTCATTGATTTCCTGCATGTCTTGCCAGGTCGTCACTCCATTTGGAGAGGAGACTCCCCACACTCCCCAAATAAATATTTTTGAGTCTAATAAATATAAAGTAGACATAAATTCGAAGCAACGTGACGCACGTCGTCCATGTTTAAAAGATATTAGGAGGCATCATACTCGTCCACGAATAACTCGGTGAGTTACTCGGCTAGTTGTTTGCGCCGATAATCTATACGTGACAAAACGATTAAAAAGGGGTGACGCCAATGACTAGCAATGGACTCTCTTTCGACTTAATGGCCAGGGTCAAGACGATTATTATACAGTATCTCGTTAGATTTTTCTTATATAATAGCTTTTTGAAAACCCAAAGTATCAAGACCGTTCTTGTCTACTATGTATTTGTATACTATAAACTGATTCATAACGAAAAAATAAATTCAAAACCTTATAAATTGAACATGGATAGTACTTATGTACATAATCAGCCAGCATGAATAATTATTTCGTACAAAATATTCCACGCTAAAGCTGTTGTGTCAACATTTGAGTAATTGTTTAAATGACCGCAATATTAGTTGACCTCTTCAAAATTGACAAACTGGCACAGCTGTTCTTTGAACAATTGTCGCAAGATAATTCAAAAAGTGTTACAAATAAGTAAATTAAAACAAAGAATCCATAAATACCAGTATACAATCCCGCTGCCGGAGTTTTTACACCTGATGCGTCGCTTACTGCGCTACGTGTGAACGAACCGTTAACTGGGTATGATTGAAAGAAAGCGCCTATTATATTGCAAACTCCCAAAGCGACAATTTCTTGAGTTGCGTCCAACGTTTTGCCTCTGGCTGAAATATATACCGGGTTGTCAATGGTGTTGTCATTTTACGTACTTGTTCCCCTTCTTAAACTGCCTGTAAAAGTTCATTACTGGACATAGGCCTCTCCTGTTGTGGGGAAAATCCGCTATAATGGTCACACCTAGCTGACGGATTAAAGACCACCGCCGGTCAATTTAACCGTGTGGCGTTAAGGAAATGATTCTATCGCCGTCTATTGGAAGCTATCTGTTTGAATTTATTACGACATTTTGCATGATCGTTTCTTATTTCATTCATGGAATGAAATGGGGTGACATATACTCTGAAGCCAACCTCATACAGCCAACGAAGGCAACAAGCATTAATTATATGATAAATAAAAATATAAACACTGTAATTCATCATTTTTCAATAACGGGCTTAGAACTTATTAAATTAGGACCACTATATCTCCGGTTGTATCATTAATCAAATTCAAGTTAGTAAACGCTTTTGAAGTAGAGTTATTTATTACTAGCTATACTAAAATATATAAGTACAAATAAAACTCGGTTGTGTATAGCAATTTATAAAAATTCGTTGGTTAGCGTACGTTGAAGAACTGAACAGCTTTGTGTTTTTTTCGATGTGTGCACTCGTCACGATGAGCGACGAGAAAAAAATGTTTATGATTTTGTTATATTTATAGCTGGCCAGAATTTTCAGAACTTTTTAGATAGTCGGGTTTCTTTTTGAGTTTTTAATAAAAAGAGTAATGAATTTCCCTTGTACAATTTACACTGAAACTGTAATTTCACATACGTAATCAAAAACACGTGTGAATTCAGAATAATTTAATGTAAATCAGTCCAAAGCCAACACGATACACAATTTCTCACTGGTAACAGAGATATAAGAAACTGTCAAATCATTTACTTACATAAAATTACATTGATATCCCATCCCTCCCCAAAACCCTGTTAGAAATGAGACGAGGCCCGTGCCCAGGAGTGGGACTTGTATAAGCGGCTACTTTACTTTACATTGATGTGTAAAGGGTGCGTACAGATTAAGTAACATGTTGTGTAACTTTTGTTTTATAACACTTCCACATTATGTTACATTGTTTTTCAACATTGCAACATATAACAATACTGTACACATTAGAATAACAATGCATTATAACAATGTTATATGACATTGTCGATTGTCGTTCTGCAGTGCTATTCACAATGTCGACACAAGAGCACGTTTTGCTAGCTGCTGCAGCAACTCTTGTACTTTTAAATAACAAAAGAAAAAAACATAGGTACTGGGTTTGTTCTAGTTTATTGACTAGAGAAAAATACTCTCTAGTTATTTAACATTTGTGTCACGTTATATAACTCGTTCAGTCAAGTAAAAGTAAAAACATTCAGTCTCCACATTACTGAAACATGTTATATGTTATATTATATGTACGCACCGGAAGCAACTTTCACAGCAATTTTCTAAAAATTTTGTTAATTATTTCAAAATGTGTCAGTAAATGAAGGATGGAATTAAATGACAACATCTATCAAAGTTGATTAAATTCCGCGCATAAGTTTGAAACCGCGATTGATATACTTCACAAGTGGTAAATTTAAAAATTTTGTACAAGCGACTTCAATATTAATTATTAAGGATAACTCAAAAACTATGGTCAGACCTTGATCAAATTTATATGGGCTACACGAGAAGCACCAGCTTTCAGATAAAAAAAGAATCATCACAATCGGTTTACCGAGAAAAATGTTATGATGCACATTAAAAAAAAACATACAGTCGAATTAAGTATCTCCTCCTTTTTGAAGTCGGTTGAAAATAACGTTTTAATCGTTCTTTAACAGTCCACTGCCAGACATCTTTGTGCTCCATGTTTGGCTTTTCGTTGTGTAAGTCATAGACCAATTTCTCTATTGAGATACCGTCTATACATTACCATTTATTTTTGGTCCTTCTACATACGATATTTACTTAAATAGCTTAAATCATTAATCATATATGACTTTTATTTTGTACCCCGTAAAATTATAAAAGTAAGAATTTATAAATCTTTCTTTGAAAAATACCATAATAAGATTTAAACTTACAAAATGCCTTGACTATAGCAACATTAGATATAATTGCGACTAAGGGAACCACAATTAATCCGGATCCGAGATGTACGAACATTTCCCCTGCAGTAACAGTAGTATTTCAAATAATACTGTGGAACGGCGGCAATTGTGGTGTAGGTAACCCCGGCGTTATAGTACCTGAAACATTTGCCAATAGTTGTATTTTTAAGTAATATATTACGAAACTGCGATATAAATAGCTAATACTATGTGTATTACACTAATGTATAAAGGCAACATATACAACAGACTTTTCCGAAACTTATATATCTTGTTTAAATAGATAATGCGCTACAACTCAATCATTAAGCAAAATAGTTCTTATTAACCAATTCTTATATCCTTTAGTCCTTGAATTTATGCTCTACGCTTGACCCCTGGCTCCCTTTAATATATGTGTGGGTAAAAATGAAATTACTATTAATATTCTGTAATATTCACTTCACTGCAGCGCATCACAAGTCTGGTACAGAAAATAGGCCTCCACCATAGATTGCCTCAAAGTATGGTATTGAGTCGCCTGCATCCATTGAGCCGATTAGTTCTTCGAACTATATGATCGACCTATTTACTTCATTTCGCGAGGTTATGTCAGTTACTCTTGTTCTTCTGCGGATATCCTCGTTACAATTTTTTTTCTGTAAAGTATTTCCGAACATAGCCCTTTCAAGCACGCTGAATGACTTTGCTCCCAAATACGGTCAGCAATGAAGAGTCACGTTCCGTTCTGGTACCATCAGTTATCACTGGTATAACGCACTGGTTGTACACTTTTCTCTTGATCGAAGTTGGCCTTATCGAAAAAGAAATTCAGTTTCAGGTACATATACTCTTCAACAACGTCAGTCGTGTTCCCAACAATTATCGGTATAGGTGTACCATGGACGTTAGACATTATTTTTGTTCATGTTCAACCTAAGACCTATCTGTTGGAAAATACTAATTGGGTCGTTGAGCATAATGCTATGACCCTCCATAGGTTCTCCTTTTTAGCAACTTAGATTATATGACAATTTAATTTATTCGTCTTAAGATTTTGCCTTTTAAACGTTAGTTAGGTAAGAAAATAACAAAAAAGTACCTTTTTACTCGCTTTAACAACATATGCCTACAAAAATAAAAAAATCCCTGATAATCTATAAATCCAGAAAACAATTTATAAATTGCTAATTCACTGATAAACAATTGCCAAATATTTTTTCATACTTATTCTGTATTACATTAAGTCATGTATTTAAGAATTTCTCTGTCACTGCTTAAAAATATATTTTATTTTATAATTCACATTATTTTTATCATCTAACATTCTTTAAAAACCCTATGAGATCGATATTTCTTCATCTATCGGATGTCATTAATTTTTATGAAATCTCCCTCAGTCGACTTTTACGATACCCACGGGACGAAATAGGGTGATCGATTCCTGCTACCTCAAACAGTTTGTATGCAATATTGAAAACGATGTTTATTGGAAATTATAAAAAATTTAATATTGTCGTCATCACTTATCTCCCTAAAAATGATATCAATTTTTCTACATATAATAGGGTTTAAAGATTGAAGTTAACGTTTTAATGGAGTGATCATTTTGGATTAAAATTATACCTGCATGGTTAAAGATTCGTGATTAACTTTTGTAACGCAAAAATTTTAAACTTAAAAATTTATTATATTCTATTGTTGAACTTTCAATTGTTTTAACATTCTGTTCAAATTCAGTTAAACATAAAGACCGTCAAAATAAGAGTAATTTTTTGATACGTGCTTCGATGTTCTATCACAGTTTAGATAGGTTACAAAAACGATAATACTCTCGGAGAGGATACGACTGATGAACGCACTGTGCATTTTTAGTAGTGGAAACTCCGACTTGAGGAATGAGCTCCGAGGATAACCAGATACTAACGTAAATAATGACGAATTAAAAGCAATGGTGGTAGCCGATCCTTATCAAACAACCAAGTAATTAGCATACAGGTGTCTCAATATTTAACTGATGTGCATAAAGGAACAAGTATTAAAACTTGCCATCCTTTGATGAGAAGGTACTAAAATGAAGGGATTTTGGACAGAAGTGTGACTTTTGATGAAAAGTGGATTCTCTACGACAATCTTAATGCGCAGCGCAATGGCTGAACGTGGATCAAGAAACTGAACAATGCCAAAGCGACGCTCACTCACAGAAGCTTAACCGGGGAAGGACCACGCTCTCACAGAATACCAGCGTAAAATAGCATGTTAATGCTGCTGACTTATGTATGGTGAGTGAACAGAGAACCGGTGACTCTTTTTAGTGGAATAGATGCATTCCGTATTAGTTCTCAGGAAGAACACATCTGCATTTTGATTCTTAACCGATGATAGATACTGACAATCTAGTGAACTGTGTTATCGTTTCTCACCATTATTCTATATGAAAAAAAAATTTCGAACAATGATAGCGAAACTCTCAAAGAAATAATTCAGACTCGTCAATTGTTCTTAGCCATTGTTGCTCCATGATAACGCAAGACTCACACTCAAATTCACACTGCTCAACAAACTATGCTTACATACTTTTCTTATATTAAACCCAGTCTTCATAGATTTTGTAGAGTCCAGATCGCCAGTGTTCTATCGCAAAGGCTATATAACTATCCTTTGAGATTTATTAAAACTGTATAGATATATCTTTACTAACTAAATACTTCGAATAAATGAATATATTTTAAAAAAGTCTTTTATTTATAGTTGTAAATAGAAGACGCTGCTGCCTATCTCCTGGGTTGCTTCCCTCTGTTGCCTCTTACACCCACGAGATGAAATTGGAGAGTGGATATTTTTAAACCACCACTACAAATTTGGGCGGTAGGTTAGGTCATCGGCAATTAATTATTCTTTTGCCTCACTCTTTTCGACGCCTAGTTACGACACTATAAACAAAATCATCATAGACAGTAATAAGTAGCAATGGGAAAGTTATGCAAAGGGAAAGTTAAGGCTTTTATTCTTTATGTGTTGCACAACATGCAAAGAAGTGAATGTTACAATGGGATTTTTCCGGACCGTTACGCTTAGGAACTTTCAAGAAAAGAGCCTACTCTTTTTTAAAAGGCCGGCAACGCACCTGCGATTCCCTTGATTTTGTAGTTGTTTGTTGGCAGCGGTCGACACTTACCATCAGGTGAGCTGCATGTTTCTTTGCCCCCTCTTCTATAAAAACAAATCACTTTTTACTTTTAATTTTTATGTCACAAATTAAATACCAACTTACCAGTGAGTATCAAAGGCTCGCCTTTGTCCTCATGAAAGATAAAAGCCAATATAGATGCTATTACAACTACGACGGCATTTCTTGAAACGCCTGCAAACCATAAAGTCCTTTGAATTATAATCGCACTGCGGCGGCCTTTATCATCTTGTGGATCTTTAAGACGAATATCTTTCATAGCCTGTGGATAAAAATTGTATAAAACATTTTCTTGTGTTAAATGAAACAATTTCATTGAGTTATTTTCATGTGACAATTAAAAATCTTCTTTTTTCTTTTTTTAAAAATCATTCCGGCCCTGAGTTTTCCTCATGTATCGTGGAGGCGTTTCTATGCATATATTGCATATGTTCAAATATCCAGACCCAGAAAAATTATTTGTAAACCACGCACTCGTTTCGCACGCTATTCGAACTCGCGGTCCAGATGTGTTGACCAGAATAGAAATTTCGCAATTTAGAAAAGTGACTTTTTAAAATTCCACCAATGCAGCCTTCTTTAAAATAAAATAAAATTTCCGTTTAAGTATAATATTTTTATATTCACGAAAGTAAACCCCCTCTCAATTAGCAGGCCATCAGTTTATGTATATTCATGAATAGTTTTTACGCGATAGATCACGCAAGGCATAAGTGTGTACCGTGATTGCTATGATTACCTATCGCGTTTCAAATTCCAGTAACTAGTTCCCTATAAGCAGTTCAAATATTTCAAGTCATGCGTTTTCTTCGGCCTACTTTGTGGCTAAATCTAATAAAACGCCTTCCATACGCCTTCCATGCTCGTCGGTTAAAGAGTACTTTTAACCGACGAGCGTGTATGCGTAGGTATATAGATGTGGAGGAAGCGAAAGAGGTGTGTCAGGATCGTGCCAAATGGAAGTCCATAGTCTCTGCCTATCCCTCTGGGTGACAGGCGTGAGTGTTTATGTTATATTATGCCATACTCTACTCAATGTTATAATAGTCTTGGCAATGTAATTGTAAAATAATAGAAGTACAAGAGTGTAAACAGTTGTCACAACAATAGTAATTGCTTCATATCCGTCTCGACAATCATTAAAATGTCCCGAATGCGATGCGTCCTTGAGATATTCTTTGTACTTTCAAAGGCTTAATAGATCCGAAGTCATTTGTCCGCATTGCAATGGTCGTATTTTCATAGGTAGGTCTAGAAGGTCATGAAGCTTCCAATAGATGTCTCCGTCTCTTATTTACCGTCTTTTGTTTCTACCGTCACTTGTTTATACTAGATATTAATGCCTAGACTGGCTACGTTTCTGTACTATTATACTACGATTGCCAATCCACCAGGCAAGCATTGCTATAACAGCATATCTATGCGCGCAAGGCGCACTAATATGAGCGTGACTCATACCCAGCAGCAGGTTATTTACGAATTGAGAAGGAACCAATACAAAAATTAAAAACAGTAAAGCGACATTATTAGATACCTTCATTCCCAAAAGCACAACACAACACGCTAAACCAAGTAAGGTATCTTGCATTCGAGTATCTGTTATATGATGAAATATCCCTTCCCAAGTTGATTTAAATGTTTCCGCATTGAATCGTAAGCCAAGGAGGCCCTTAATCTGGGACGATGCAATGGTTATAGCTGCCGCTGATGTAAAACCAGAAACAACAGGCAGTGAAACAAATTCAACAAGAAATCCTGAAATAAGATTTAAAATTAATAAATATCCATGTAATTCCGATATAAGTCTAGAAATATTTCAAACTATTATCATTTCTCATCACATATTTATAATATTACCTATATTATAAATATATAAAATTAATAATAACAGTATTATTTATGTGATAATATCCATATTTTTATTTATATAATATAGTAGAGAAAATCTTTTTATGAAATAATTGTTAGCTAGCGTATGCGACCGTAGATTTAGAAGGGTCGAATGTTCTAAAGTATGATTATATTAAAATGAGAGTATATCAACGAGAGTATACAATTTTAATGTTTGAAACAGCCATCGCGTAACCCTGTTAAAAACAGTTTACAGAATCAACATTGACTTTGGGGAAAACAATCAAAAATATGACAATCAAAATTATTATGCAAAAATCCGTTTTGTTTGCACATGGATTTTATATGTGATTGATCAAATTTGTATCTGATCTTAAATGGTAATGTAACTAATGTCTGTCTAACTAATGGCTATACTGCTACTGCTTCACACAATGCAGTTACATAAGTACTACAGGTATATATGTTAAGTATAGTTACAGTAATTAAATTATCTTTAATTAATAGAATCAGATGATACTTTGCGATATTCCATTAATTTAAAGATTTTAAAAGTTAACTTGCTAAGAACCGTGTAGTAAAATAAAGTGTCTACCTAGTTCGTAGAGCACTTACCGCCCTCTCTCAATTGCGTGCACTATCACCGTCACCACTAATTCCAACAACACTACATGAGGAAACACACACCGCCGTCGATAATACGACAAGTGTTTCGCCTCTACACGAGGCAACCTCAGGTGAAGTAAACTCTGCAGTGGCCGACCGCTAAGATTTTTTAGTTCTATTATCGACGGTGGTGTGTCTTTCGTAGTTTAGTGGTGTGAGTAGTGGTGCTAGTGGTAACGGGGATAGTGCCCATCCCTCACTAAGCCTATATCCTTAACAGTAAACCAAAAAATCAATTTGTATTTTGAACAAATGTTGACTTCGATTACATTGTAAGTAACACCTAGATCACCTCAGTGCTTTAAATTACACGGTCGTATAATAGCTAATACTACTTACTAGCACATCTAACGAACCCGGAATGTAGCAAACATCACATTAAGTAATTACAAAGAATAAAAAACATGGAAATAGAAAAGTGTTGAATACAACATACCAAGTTGCGCAATTCCGGCCACCAAAGTGACAATGCCGCTTATAAAACACAAAAGTACTGCAAAGTCGGGATTAGTTCCGCTGGTGTATGTAAAAGTGAGAAGCGACAGCAACGCAGTAGGCCCAATGTTTATTTGAGGACATGTACCCATTACTGCGTACACAAAAGCACCCGCAAATGATGCGTATAATCCGTACTGTAAAATAAAATGACTATTATTTTGTTACTAAGTCGACAACATAATATGATGTTATTTTACATGTTTAAGACCTTCTCACATGACTTAATAAAATAATATTTAGATTATTTTTTTCATTTACAGAAACAAACTATTCAAATGATTAAATCGACTATTCAAATGAATAAATCGATTTATGAATATTGAAATTCTTGAGCATGCACTAGTCAAATTAAAGATTTTTCAGTAATGATGGTTGCATGTTTTAATAGCTAAAATTTTTTTAAGGAATAAAAAAACACTGGCTAAATACATCAGGAAACGATTAAAATACAAACGCAACTTCAATAAACTAGTTTATATTTATCTGAAAATAACAAATTAACCCTTACGTACTATGTGTTAGAGGTAAGAAAAAAGTAGTACATACTATAACTTGGGCCGATAATTTCATATACTATCAAAAGAAGATCGTAAGTCAAGTCAAGGTAGGAATATGAGTCACACATAAACAATTAGAAGAAAAATAACAGAGCAACTCCTATCTTCAAGTCATTTAGAATACCCACGAAAGACTAACTAAGCTATTATTAACTGTATAATGTTTATTATTATCTCCAAGATATGATTTTTTTTGTAAAAAGTCATAAAATAACAAGATTTTAAACAACAACATGCCACGTAATTCAAAAACAGCATGAGATGTTACGCTATTTTTGATTAAGGTATTATCATCAGTTTAACATCTGCACAATGTATTATATGATAATTTAGTGTTATGCCTTAGTTCAAATAAAAAAACAAGAAACAACAATAAAGTAAAGAATAACAAAAACAGTTACGTAACAAAAAGCTGCTCTGAATTTTGAGTATAATAATAACAACAACACTATTTCATTAGGATGTTTATAATTGCTTTTCTTGTAAAAAATATGTAAATCTAAATCTTTATACTTAACTTTATCTCTATTTATGTATGATGTAAAATTTAGATTTTTATGTTTTTAATTTATTTATGAGAAGCCGTGTAGTGGTGGTGTAAGCATATCCATTATTCTATATCATCCCGTGGGTGTCGTAAGAGGCTACAGAGGGAAACAAATCAGGAGACGGGTAGCCGCATCTCTCTAATAACAACTAAAAAAAACGTGCTTACCAACCCAAGTGTTAAACGTGGCAACTATTTTTTTTTCAAAAACTTTACCCCCACACTAGGATTTTCTCCTGTGTCGTGGAGGCAGTTTACAAACATAAATTGCACAAGGATAAACATCCAGACCCGGAACAATTATTTGTAGGCCATACAAATACTTGTTCCGTGCGGGATTCGAACCCGCGGCCCCACGCGCAATAACTGATTGCTAAGCCACTGCGCCACGGAGCCGTCGATTATCGAAATATCCTTCCTTTGAATCAATCTATGGGGGTAGGCCTATGTTTAGTAGTAAACTTTTGATGGACAGTAATGGTAAGAACAGAATGCCTTATCGTTATTTATATTTCTTTCATTTTTATTAACCGAGTTTCAAAAACGTGAAATTATTCTAATTTACGCGTATATTTAAGTTTGTTTACTGATTTCTCAGAAACGGTTGCACTGATTTTAATAATTATTCTTTTATTAAATAGGTTGTACTTCAAGGGTGTTCTCGTATAAATTTTAAGATAAAAATTACTGATAAGGGAGGAAATATAGGGGCTGAAGTTGTTAATGTAACTATTTAGATGACATTCTAGTTGATAACTTGAACGTGTGATATTCCTTAGGAGGGTAAAATATTTTTAGTTTAAATAATTTAATTTAAACAAAAAAAATTTCTTAATTTGAAGCCTATATTGCGTGTCATTATTTCCTCGAACGAAAAAAGAAAAACTCAGCGTTCAGCGCATAAAGTAACAACTGCGCTGAACGTTGAGTTTTTCTTTTTTCGTTGTGCGAGGAAAAACAGCACTATTTGGACATAGTATATTAGAGATGGCTCTTGTTATGTAGAATCCTTTGCCTAAGAATATTAAAGAAAATAAAATAGAAGAGTTTAAAAGAAAACTTAGAGAGCAAACTCTATGCAAAAATATACTCATGAAAAATTTGAAGCTTCTGCATTTATGTATGTTCTTTCTTTTCTTTTTACATTTACTAAAATAATATTTAAACTTTTGAAAATTTAAAAAACACGCATTGATCATGAGCTGTGATAATTCTAGAGAGAATTATCCTGGTGATCCTGATCAGGATAGAAGGGGAAAATCATTAAATTCTTGTATTGTCATCGGTCCTTGATGTGAGTGCAACATTTTAAGTCAATCGGCTATCTACAAGTTGGTGAAAATTACTTTGAAAGATTCCGTTACATAGATAGATAGACGCGAATCTAATAAAAGAGTGTTAATTATACAATTAAGATTTGATTATTGACCTTGTATTTGGTAATAGTTTGACATTGCAATTATTTGGACAATTTATTTCCATTTTAATATTTGTGTACCAATTAATGGTAGATAATATAGGACGCAATACGTAATTGATAACATCTTTAATGTACTACTTATGATCGTATTATTATTATTTTTATTAACTTATTGTCAATTGTAATTTCAAGAAATTTGGTAGTTTTATGTTGGTTAGGTTTTTGGTAGTTCTTGAAGGTTCCGTACATTATACCTTACATTTTTTAATAAAATTTAACAACATCAAGGTAACAACAACAATGTCGTCAAACAGTTATTTAAAATTTCCTCTCTAATTTTTACACCCTTTGTGAATTACCTGCAAAATAAAAAAATCACAATTTATATTTTAAAAATTACAATAAGAAACCATAATATGTGGTTTCGTATGCATTCAAATGAAATGACGTACGTCTTTGTACACGCTAATTGGGAAGACAAATCATGATGTGTGAAAATCCTTGAAACAGTTTCGTTTGTCACACGTGATAGAAGAACGGTACTTTGAGCAGTTTTGGCTTGCCTTACTTTTTACACGGGAAATATGATCCAAAATGCTGACAGTGCTTACAAAATCTATAGGCAGCTCACATCTTTCGGCTTATTGGTGGTATTGGGGAATCGGATAGGATAGATGGAGTTCGTTGATGATATCCGATTATGTGGAAAAATTCCTATTAATGAGAAAGCAATTAGAAACAATAGCAACCAAGCACTTCTTTTTATTTCTAAAATAACACCGTTTTGTTATTTTCAGCTCACTGCTTTCCGAGCCACTACCTAAACTGAGAGAAAAAAAACTGCTTAGATCAGGGTATGATAATATATTTTCTTTTAGGCACCTGTAACATAAGGTTCACAATTAAGGTCAGTCAAAAACAAGATAATCACCACTCAAGTAGCTTTTAGGATATAATGAATAGGGATAAAATTGACTTGTTTTTAAGTACTATAGAAGCGAGAAACGTCCATTCATGGAAAAAAAAGCAATAGTTGATGGATACTAAGCCAAATATGACCGACAGTCTTTTTACGGGAACACACATGAAGCCATAATAAATATATAGATTTTAAAATACATGGCGCAAAAGTCAATTAAGCACAGATAAATATAAAATAACAACGTACTCGTATATTTCATATAATGGATAACTCGAGTGGTGCATTTAAATTATATTAGAATGTATTACTCGCCTTTTACATTTATTATTCGCTGATAAAACTAACTTATGTTTCGTTGCACTTGAAAAATAATATAAGTATAGTTTAACAAAAAAAAAAGGTTCCTTTGGTCCTATTTAGTTTTTCAATAATTAATCTTCTAGTCAACTGTCAAAAAATGAAACTTAAGCAGCTATAAATGGCTACGTGTTACTGTGTAAGTTAGTGGTAGAATTTTTGGAACGAAGTTCTTTATCGGATGATACGGATTTGGCGGATGGGGGCTAAGTCACAAAAAGTGTAAGATTTTTCCGTCACGACCCCTTCTGACGTAGTGTAGGAAGCGAGATGGAATCCATCTCCCTCGCACTTTTTCTTATTCTGCCGTGAAAGAAATATTATTTAATTTAAATGACGCTTCATTTTAATAAACGCTAGTAATTCATTTATTTGTATTTGTTAATCAATAACATAATACGTTTATTAATAATAATATACTACGAAAAGAAATTCGTTCCACCGAATGTTCCACGACAATCACGCATGTTTTTATTATCTTCAAATTTAATGGGTTCATGCAGCCTTGAGGTGTAACCTATTTAATAACAATAGAATCATTAAAACTGGTTCACAATTGGCGTAACGTTCACGTTTTTGTACGTGGTAGAGCCATGCTGCAGCTATATTAGTAGTATAGTTGCAGCACGAACGGGTCGGTTCGACCGGGGAAGGACCACGCTCTCACAGATTACCAGCGTAAAATAGCAGCTTAACACTGCTGTGTTTCGTACGGTAAGTGTAGAGTACCGGAAACCCTTTTTACTGGAAAAAAGGTATTCCATCTCAGTCCTCAGGGGTGACAACAGATCAAGAAAGGTTGATTCTTAATTAAAGTAAAATGTAGATGTTTATGGGCCACAGCATCCACTTACCATCAGGTGGACTGTGTGCACGTTTGTCAACATTATGCTAAATAAAAAAAATACATACAAAAATGTGTTTCAATATTATAATACATACCTGTGGTTCAAAGCCAGCCAACGAAGCGTACGCTATAGATTGTGGTATCAACGTAAGCGCCACAGTTATCCCGGCTATAAGGTCCCCGATACCCGTTCGAAAGTCGTAACTCCTGGACCATCGCACTATCGGGAACACCCGACTAGCTAGTCGCAATGGACTTATAAGACTTAACATTGTCGCGTCTGTAAAGTTATTCATATATAATAGTTTGCACCGTAGCAGATGGAAAAATTTATGCTTATTCACAGTGTACACGGTAAAGTTTGCTCATAAATGTCTTTTAGTTTTCGTTAAATAGAAATGTCCGGTTTATTTCTTCTTCAGCCTTAGATTTTGCAAGGACCTTATTCAATTTTGTTACTAAAATCGTCATTATTCAAGGTCAAGAGGCTCCCTAAAAAGAATATAACATTTAAAAAGTAGGTAACTCTAAGTTATTCTTTTCCCAAAATTCATTCTACTAATACAATTAGCAAAATTTATTGTTGAATTACAATAATTGTTGCCTACAAAAATATCCTTAATATTTATTCAATTATTTACGTTTATCTTGTGAAGAAGCTCTTGCAGAGTTATTGACCGCTTCAATTTATAGGAGAATTATACGTACTTGATCATCTTTACCTAGCGTTGCGTGAAACTTAAAATTTTATAATAATATTATTCTTGCTTTTTATATTGCAATATTCTGTTTTGTTATATTATTATTGAATCACAAGAGGATGGCAAATAACAAAAGATGTTATCGATAAATCACTCTCCGAGTTAAAAGAAAAGTTATATCAGTACTTGTACTAGAGACAATGGCTAAACGTTAAATCACACATCTACTTCACTGACAAGTACAAATATTATTATTCGTATAGTTATGTTTATCAAGTTTTATAATTACCATAAGCTGGTTAATATGAAACTGTAATAAAAATGTATGATGATTTTAATTAGTTTAACTAACAACAATAACGATCTTATTGCTTTAATACTTATTAATGAATAATAAAGAACAGATAAAATTATATGTAAAAACATTATAAGAAACCGTATTCTCTAGCTAATTTTTTAACTTAATAGGATCTATCTGACTGTTAGTCCTGCTAGCAAAACTTTATAATATCTCTCGCAAACCAATATTTAAATTAGCCGGTTAATTGAGTGTTTCCTGATCGACAGACTAAAAACTCGAAAAGGCGATAAAAATTTATTCACATTTCAAAAGTAAATAACAGTAGATTCTAATAAGATTACCGATGCAATTAATGCTTTGCAAAATTTTGACAAAAATTACATTATGTATAAAACCAGTTATTATCGATTTCATAGCGTTTAATTTATCTGACAAATTTGTAAGTAGGCCCAGAACAATTATGAAATCAGAACGTCAAATGCCTAGTTTCTGTGACCTTGGCTGTTATAAGGCACCCAAAACGACAAGAATTTAAAATTAAAAGCTAACTGAACGTGATTTAATCTGTAAAAATTAAATATATTCTATGTAGTATTCGCCTAAATATAAGAAGTCTTTAAAAGAAATCATCGTTTTGCCTACGACTGATCCAATGGAAATTAATTTTCCACGTTCTGGGGAACGAAACTCGTTATCACCTTCGTAGAACTTAATAAGATCCTAGTAATTTTCTTAAATAATGACAAACGATAAGCGATTTGGTTAAGCTTTCTTTAGGAATTCTACTGAATGACGGCGTTACGCTAAATGGCTAGCCGTCCAATTTACTGACGGATACACAATCAGGATTTACAAAGAGGGACTAACTAAAATGATCCAGTGCTAACATTGGCACTAATAGCAATTGTATAAATGCGTGTGCTTCCCAAAACTAAAAGTATATTTAATAACAATTTTCTACTTAAAATATTAAACTCCAGCATTATAAATCTTTACAAATAATTTTAATTAATTTCTATAATTAGGGGAAAGTAATAGTACCACTATTTTGATGGTAGAAGTTTACCGAAATAAAACATTTCGAGATAATCGTAATCGGATTGTTGATGAGAGTAACATGAATAGATGATACATTAAAGTAGATCACTTCTTATTTACCATTAAAAAAATATTTTGGAGTTTTATTAACAGAAACAACACTTCTTACTTGTTTTTCACTTCGGATAGTGTACAGACTATACAGATCAGATGCCACGCTGCCAATACGCGTTGGCGGACTTCACATGTCCTCGATATATTTTGTTCCTTAGACACAAATGTTTCCTCGTGATGTTTTCCTTCAACGGCAGGCACGTGATAAATCTGCTCTTAAAATTGTAATTAACAATTTCATTGGTGCCAAAGATAATTGAGATATCTTAGCCTCTGACCTAACACAGCTCTCACTCAGTATTTGAGTTTACTTGATTACAAATCAGAATTACAAATGCTATATTATTATTATGAAATAAAAGTACATCACTTAATTATTTTTGTAAATAGAAAATAAGAGACTTCCATAAAATATCGTAAGTTATATCTTTAAATTTCGAGGAAATGATTTTGTAATATGTACCGGTTCATCATTCATTATCATCATTACAGCCCTTCACAAGTCCTCTGCTGAACATAGGCCTCCCCCAAGGAATGCCACAAAGCACGGTTCTGAGCCACATGCATCCATCGACTTCCTGCATGTCTTACCAGGTCGTCACTCCATCTGGTGGGGGGACGCCCTACACTTCATCCGCCGGTATGAGGCCGCCACTCGTGAACCTTTTTCCCCCATCGGTTGTCGGTTCTTCGAGTTATATGGCCGGCGCATTGCCACTTCAGCTTACTAATCCGTTGGGCTATGTCAGTCACTTTGGTTCTACTGCGGATATCCTCATTTCTAAATTTATCACGCAGAGAAACTCCGAGCATAGCCCTCTCCATAGCTCGCAGAGCGACCTTGAGCTTCCTCATTCGGCCAGCAGTGAAGGACCATGTCTCAGTTCTATAGGTCATCACTGTGTGTGCCGGCACAGATTCTCAAAATAAAATCATACCTTGAAAACGATAACAATAACACAATAATTCAGTTAAGCATTTTTGTTATTTATTTTCACAATTATCACACGTGCATATAATCACTATTTGATCAACATTAATATAATGTAAACTAACTTGCGCATCACCTGCGTATGCGCCTGCGCAAATTTAACAATTTAGCCTCCGCATTAAGCAACGACGTACAACAGACTGTCTTGTATCGCACTTATAAGTACTTGTAGTTCCTATTTAGCGTCGAACAATCAGTTGTCATCGTCATGGTTAATGGATGCTTTACCTGGATGACAAAAGCATATTTAAATAATAGTTAAAATGACTTATGTTTTATAAATCAAGGATTTGTAACGAAACGTTTCATTTTTATTCGCCGTTTATAATAAAACAACTATTTATCTTATTTTTCAAACGAATTTTAAATAAATATAGGTTAATAATAAAAATCCGTGACCGTGTAGTGGCGTGGCGGTGTAATAATATACACTACCCCATATCATCCCGTGGGTGTCGTAAGAGGCGGCAGAGGGAAACAAATAATACAGGCAGCAGCGTATTCCAAATAACGACTAAAAATATAAAAAACTGCGGTTGCTAACTCGCTTGCCAAGCGTGACAACTATGGCAAATATCCCCCCTATGAGGCAATCTATGGGGGAGGCCTATCTTGAGCAGTGGAATTTAATTGGCTGTAACAGTAACGGTAATAATAAAAGGCGGAAAACATTAAAACGTGGAAAATCCTTAAAAATGTTAAAACATCTCAATTCATACTTTTGTTCTACTTTTGTCAATATTTATGTTTTTAATTTCTTGCAGACATTCCGAGTAGTGTCATACGTTGAGAATCAGTACGTAGAGAACCCACTACTCCATACAATTCCGTGGGGGTCGTGAGAGGTGACATGGGGGTCCGAAACTGAATACTTACTGATAACAAATTAAAATAATAAAAACTGCGGAACCCAAACAAGCGTAGCAAGGCAACTATAGCAAATATGAGAAAATTTATGGGAAGGCATGTGAACGTAATAATAGCAGGGATTGCTCAAGAATGGTCATTAAAAATATGAATATGTTTTTTTTTTATAGAATAAGGATAACAAATGAACACACAATCCACCTGATAAGGTGGTAAGTGAATAAAGTGGTCCATAGACACCATCACCTCGTTTAATAATGAAAACGTAGATGCGTTGTCACGCCTTGGGAATAAGATAGAGTACCTTATTACCAGTAAAAAAGTTCTCCGGTTCTATCTACTTACCATATAAAACACAGCAACATTAAACTTTTATTTTACGCTGGTATTCTGTGAGAGCGTGATCCTACCTGGGTTGAGGGCAAGCATAATATAACAGCAGCTAGGGCCTCATTTACCCACAGGCTAATTTGGATAGAGCCTAGGGTGCAATAACCGAAAGAATGCTGAGCTTGTCTTTGCAAGCACCACAAAAATTAAATTTTTCATAATATTCTCAATAAATTATGGAGTAAGTGAGGTTGAATTATTTGGTGTCTTTCGTATTTCGTTGACTGACTGGCTCAAAGGGTATAGGTACGAAGCTTTTAAATTGCTTAAGCACTCTTCTCTACCTCTAATTTAATTAGTTACTACAGATCATAACTGAAATACTTGATAATAATGAATTATCATACGATTGAATACTAAAAAAAACTATATTTATATACATAATAATATAATAAACGTGAAAGATTGTTTGTCTTCTGATACCTTTCTAGTTTACCTAGTTTCAGACAGGACAAGCCAGTTGGGGGGGTGGGGGGCATCATAGTTAGCATGGGCATGCAGAACCCTAAATCAGGCGTTGGCTGCAGCGTGGCTCTACCACATTACCACATTAAGTGTTTGATTTGATAAGCTATCTATACAAATAAATAAAATTGAAGTGTCTGTTTGGAATATCAAAATTACAGCATTTTACTAAACGCATATGAAAGTATATACGGTACTAATAACAAAAATACAATTTTTAAAGTTTTTGTCTGTCTGTCTGTCTGTCTGCCTGTTTGTTCCGGCTAATCTCCGAAACGGCTGGACCGATTTTGACGGGATTTTCACTGGCAGATAGCTGATATCACAAGGAGTAACTTAGGCTACTTTTATTTCAGAAAAAAATATTAGAGAGCGACTGTCGCAACCCCGTGCTGGGCACGCCACTATAGCGGCGATAAGACCCCTCTTTGAGGAGTGGCTTGAGAGACGCCACGGCGTCCTCACCTTCCGCCTGACGCAGGTCCTCACCGGACACGGTGTGTTCGGGAGGTTCCTGCACCGAATCGGGCGGGAGGAAACGCCCGGGTGCTCCCACTGCGAGGATCGACCGGAGGACACGGTGGAGCACACCGTGGAGGTGTGCCCTGCCTGGGCGGAGCACCGCCGTGTCCTCGTAGCGGCGATAGGCGGCGGCGACCTCTCGCGTCCGGCCCTGGTCGAAGCCATGGTCCGGAGCGAGACGGAATGGGATGCCGTCACCACCTTCTGCGAAACAGTGATGCTAGCGAAGGAGGTGGCGGAGCGGGAGAAGGAGAGAGCAGCAGCTTTCCTTCCCGGCCGCCGCGGGAGACGCCCCGGGCGTCGGGGGCTACGTCGTGGCCCCCGGCCACCGTAGGCGCGGGCCTGTGGACGGCGAGCAATGGGTAGCTCGCCGTCCGTCCGTCTAACGACGACAGGCCGTGTCGACGGCGCGTTTTGTTCCACGCGCGCCTCAAAGAGCTGTCAGCAGCGTGAAGGGGCCCGCAAGGGCCGACGCCTGCCGGGGCTGCGGGCTGTTCGAAAGAGATACCGCGGCTCCGGAACGTAAGGGCACTGAAGGAACACGGATGGTTTTTAGTCAGTAAAAGTCTGACACTCCCTTCCGCTCCACCCAGAGCGAAAGGCGTCATTTGATGATTTTCCATCCGCAAAAAAAGGCTACTTTTATTTTAGAAAAAGAATTAGGGTTTCGCGCAAAAATTAAAACCCCAAATAACACGCGGGCCAAGTCGCGAGGAACAGCTAGTAATGAATAATGAATGACAATGAAATCATTTGATGCACAAACATTGTTTCAGTATGAAAAACTTTAATTTAATGTAGTTCTTAAACAATTATTTAAAAATCTTTAATTTTAAACAATATATTATCAATTATAACGATTGTATATAAATATATATACATACTCATTATGCAAATAATATGACATAAAATATCTACATATATTTTTGTCATATAGCTATATTCATTTGTCTTTCGTATTATTAGTCTTTTGATATTAAGAAGACGTAAGTAACTTACAGTTTGATTTAAAAAATAACAAATTACTCTAAAGTTACTGACCGTTCGGGACCTTTTTAATAAAGGCGGTTTTTTTTGAGTTAATTTTTTTGTGTACAGATCAAATGCAACCTTTGCATTGCATTTGATATGATAACAATCCCAGTGTAAAAAAAGTTATTATCCCATATTAAGCCTATTATCCCACTGCTGGCCGTCTCTCATTTTTGAAAAGATTGTAGGGCACGTCCGTCGCATTGTCCAATGTGTGTTGGCGAGCTTTACACGTCTTCAAAATATTTTTTTAATTTCTCAAATGTGTAGGTTTCTTCACTCATTTCGCTTCCATCACCGCCGAGTACTTGGCAAATCAGCAATTAAAATTGCAATTAACAATTTCATTGGTGCCGGAGGCGATCGGACTCGCGCATGAAGCGTTCCAAGCCATCGTAAAACATGTTTATAGTAGGGGAGCCCCCTTCAAATTTAAATTAATTTTCATTTTTATTGTTTGTTGTTATAGCAGCAATAGAAATACACATTACGTGAAAATTTCAACTGTCTACCAATTACGAATCATGAGATACAGCCTGCTGACAGACAGACGGACGGACGGACGGACAGTAGAGGCTTAGGCTTAATAGGGTTCCGTTGGTTACCCTTTGGGTACGGAACCCTAAAAAGCAAACAAAATAGTTGTGGATAGATGTCAGTCTGGATCAATTTCAGTCCGAAAGAGAAGCTATAGGTTGAGCGAGCCAATCTCTCACTGCAGACAGTCTCCAAATAGGGCAATATCAATCTTTGGCGATTCAACGCCTCCAAAATAGTGTGTCTCTCCACTGCAAAAAGAGCCTGCTCACTCTGACTTTTCAGGATGTATCAGGAGTACACCGACCACTCTCAGATGTTAGGGATTGAGTTTTCTCCGAACTTAAGTTGACTTAGGGTGGTTTGTTAAGTCCAAACACAAAGCAGCAGCAACAAGGAAACTAGGAGTCTTTGCAAGGGCACGGTGATACTTCACGTCATGTCAACTATTTCCTTATATAAAGGAAAAGTCAGTATGAAGTACGGCTATCACATATAGGCCGGCGATGCAAAGTGCCATTTAGTGGCATTGGACTCAGTGGTGAGGTCAGGCAAAAGGCTTTCTCGTAATCCTAATTTGGTTGAAACCAATCTTGTCAGCCTCAAGCACAGGCATAAAATAGTTAGCCACCCGAAATTTTATTGTTTCTTGAGATAAATGGAGTACGTAGAGCACGAGCATTTCCAGTATCATCTTATAAAAACTATTCCAGGAAGCAAACCAAAAAGAAAAATAATAACATCGATCAACAAATACTATTTTAATAAGAACACTCATTAAAATAATATTAACTAGAGTGTCAAAGGAGGTCAAGGTAGGCGCGCGGCGAAACTTTTCCAGTAGGAAAAACTTCGCACATCCGAGATTAACGGATCTACCATTTTTTAAACTCATTTTAGCTGTATTAATTAGTTGAAAAACTCATATCAGTCACTGACCGTATTAACTCCTAACCGTATTAACTCGTAACCGTATTGAATGATATAATTTATTTATTAATTAGTATATCAAGAACAAAGATATTCAAGGTTGCAATACTTCACACAGAGCTGAAAATTGTGACGAATTTTGGGAAAGCTGTTATAAATGAAATGTGAAAAGACCCCATCGATCCCACATCTGCAAAAATTATTCAAGGTCAAAGTTAACTTAAATGGGTTAGTTGCATTTTTCAGCTAAACGGCAAGTTTTATCGTAAAAATATGCCTAAAAATCACCATTTCAGAGATACAGCGATGAAAAAAGTTGAATAAGTTGTGT